ATCACATTACTAAATTTTGATCCCTGAAATCTTTGGTAATACCAATGTTCACTTTGTCTGGTTTTGTTGCAGTATGCTCCAATTTATTGATTTTGATGAGCATAATAACAAAAACCAAAATTTATTAAAAAACAATGAATGAATTTGTTGGACCTGGAGAATTATTTTGCTTTAAATATTGAAAAAATCAAGCCCTCAATGAAGCTTTATTACCAGTTTTTTGATACTTAACAAAACACTGAACTATTTAATAATGAAGTGGATTTGTCAATTTGACTGTTACCATTCACAAAACTGAAATAATATCACTACTTTTGCTTTCCCATTTAGTGTGGATGCAAAGAAATTCTTTTGGATAAATACTATTATTGATTTTCAGTTAATTGGTTTTATTAATTTTTTCTACTGATCCAAAAAAATGTAAATTCGATAAGTCGGTCACATGAGGCTACTGGCTTAATCGAGTGTGCAATTGTGATATCATTTTGATCCCTGAAATTTCTTTGTGGCACAATGTACATTGTTAAGTATGCCTTATGCTGTTCAATAATAATTAAATTTTTAAATAATTTTTTCAATTATGGATTATCAACGGCAATTACTTGAAGAATTGATGGCACCCTTTCAATCTTCTTCAAAGCACACTTTTTGGGATGATGCAGTGTGTAAACATTATTTAGTCAAGTTTTGTCCTAATTCTTTATTTACCAATACAAAATCAGATCTTGGTAACTATTATACATATTTTTTTTTCATTTTTGTTTAAATACTTTAATAGTTGCTTATTATTTTTTTTTTAATAAGGCCCATGTACTAAAGTACATGATGAAAAACTTCGTCAACAGTTTGTATTTTTATATGTTGTATTATTATTGATTATATTATTTTTCTAATTATGATATATCCCTTTTTTTAAAAAAAATTTATAAATTAATAAAAAGATATCAAGAAGCAGCAGATCGTTCAAAGTATGGTTATGAAACCAAATTTTATGACTATTTGACAGTGTTATGTAATGATCTAGATAAAAAGATTCGTAAAGGAAATGAACGTTTAAATGTTCGTCCTGATGATACAGTAAGTTTATTTTTTAAGTGAAACATTAAATGAAATGATTTGGAATTTTATTGTCATAAAGATTCATGTGATTATTTTACTTTGATAGCTTCTGAATCCAAATAAAGATGAAAAAGAAGAGAAAATTATCATTCTAGATGAAAAAATAAAAGAATTATTGGTAAAGGTAAGTATTTGACAAATGATTAATAAATCAGTTGAATATGTATGTATGTATATGTATGTATGTATACATTAATTTGTATACTTTATACTAAAATTAATGATTATTTTAATAAGATCGAAGAGGCAGGCGAAGAAGGCCGTGTACAAGAAGCACAAACATTAACCAAAGAAGTGGAATCACTTCAAAAAGATTTGGACTTTTTAAGAAATGTAAGTATAAAAGTATAGGAAAACTTATTTACATACAACAGAAAAAAATTTTCTGCCAACTTAAAACATGTAGATAAGCAGAATCAGCAAGAAACATAACATTTGAGGTAACTCTATTGCCTAGTATATATATAGTCTCTAAATTGGATATATATATATATATATATATTTATGCATATATAATTTAGCTTCTTTTTTTTTTTAACACAAAAAAATTGCTAAAAAAAAAAAAATCAAAGCTAACCTTATAAACCCAACTTTTTCACATTATTAAGATAATTTCTTTTTAAATTAAATTTTTTTTAAAGAAAAAATCATATATATATTATATATATTTATTATTTAATATTCAAAAAAAAAAAATTTTTTTTTTGAAAACTGTTATTTACAATTTTGCTTCCAGTCACTACATACATACATGCATACATATTGAACAATGAAAGTAATCCCAGGAGAGAGACTTTACAAAAAAATCGGTAGATTTTCAAAATTTTTTAAATCCCCTGTTCACTAACCATTATTATTTCCAAATCTATTTCATGAAAACCAATCAATTCTCTATATCTCTACGGACCTTCTCCTCTTTCTGATTTTGACTTAAAACAATTAGAGCGATGACTCAAATCCACTATTTAAACAAGAAAGAAGAATGCTGGTTTGTGATGTTTGTGGAGCTTTTCTAGTGACTAATGACACTTCTAATCGGATGGATGCACATCTGCAAGGAAAACAACATAAAGGCTATAAACAAATTCGTGAAACTCTTCAAGAATGGAAGGTAACGAATGCTATTATATTAATATTCATTATTTAATATGCTATTTTTTAATTGGAAAATTGACTTTTTTAGCAACAGAGGTCATATTCATCACGAGAACCAAATCAGAGAGAACATCGACGAGATTCATATAGTCGACATGAACCATATCCCCGTAATCCTCCACCACGTAGAGAAAGACATAGGGATAGAGATTATAGACGCGATGAAAGAGATTATTATGAACGAAGTCACGATGACCATAGTCATAGGAGAAATAGTCATGAATCTAGACGTGATAGAGATGATAGAAGTCATCGGCATCATGATGATTGAAAAATAAATTTATTATTTTTAATTATTTTATAGGTACTTGAAAAAAAAAATAGATGAGAATTAACTTTTTTAATTAATCATCATTTTGGTATTATTATATTTTATCCTTTAGTATAAAGCATTAATCCTTGCTGGTTTATGAGGAAAATGTAATAACAATATATATATTTCACAAAATAAATATAAACTATATTAATAGGTATATTATATACATATATATGGCTTATGATGAATTTTGGGGTGGATACGAAATTTCGATTAACTAACTTGATACAACATAAATATATAATGATAATTTTTTTTGTATTCTATTAAATTGGTTTTAAATAATTATAATTCTCTAACCCTTCCTTCCTTTTCTCATTATCCATCACCATCTGATATACTCATTTTACTATAATCAACAATGTAAGAATCTATCAATAACTTTTCAAATCCTTGGGAATGTCTCAGAATATGGTAATAATCCATCTATTAACTATATAAAATAAAAATTTTACATTTATTTATTTATATATATAATCTCCGATTTCTAATAATTGGTTGAATTGAAATTCCTTAGTGGAACATTTAAAATTTTTTGAATTGGTATTCCAATCTTCTTTTTCTAGATTAATATACCATCTATTGTTTAATCTTGTTATACTGTTAGATAAAGAACAATTGGTTCATAATTTGCTTGAATAAATTTAATAACCTGTGAGGTTGATCCAAACTAAATTGCAAGTAATATTGAATTTTCGCTAAATTACATACTTTAATTCTTCAGTACATCTTTCTAAATGGGGGCTTTTCTAGGAAAAACTGGACACGAGACCCCCTGGTCAAAATTGGTTTAACAAAAATTTCTTTCGGATTGATCTATACACCCCATTTTTATGTTACACGAAAATTTTTTAATTGATGATCCGGGCAACTTAATAAAAGATCGTCAGAGCTAAAATATTTAATTAAAAAACAAGCAAGAATTAATTAACTCCTTTCAGTCTATTTTTTCTTAATAATAACATATTATTAAGGTCAACTTACACATAGTCAAATATCTTTTTAATGATTTTACTATATTTAAGATTACTCGTGGGCTCAAAGCATGCATCCATTCCAATACTTATTTTATAAGTGCATCATTTAATGAAGATGAAAGTTGTTCATCGAATATTGGCCTTGTTAATTTATATGGATTATCATTCGTAACCAGCTCCCATTCTTTCGAAGTGAAAGTATCATATCGACATGGCCAGTCTAATATTATAATAGATGCTAGTGCACTAAATGTAATGGAAAAAGGGTGAGTACATCCTCACACGGATATGTTATGTAATCACAAATGTGTAAGGTTCTTAATGCTTACGAAATTTCTGTTGTGTCATTCCATGTGTGTTTTTTATGATCATTTTTTAAATCACGTATTAATCTTAATTGATATTTCTTGAACCTTGAAGAAACATCTATTGTTTCTACTACCCACTGAAAATAAAATAATAATAATAATAATAATAATAATAATAATAATAAATAATAAATTGTACAATTAACAAAATACAAAGTTTCAATTTAACATATACTTTAACATCACACTCTTGTCGTATTTGTTGTTCTATTGAGCCATAATCAAATGTCAAGATTTCACTTTCAATAGTATCGGTTTCACTTGTGCTTGGCACATTCGATTGTTGAATCCGTGCTTGATTATTCTCGTCATCTTCATCTTCGATTTCACCTTCAGTTTGTGAAAATTTTAATCAGAATTGTTGCAAGAGATTGCAATTATTGAAAATATTCAAGAAAAAAATTTGATTTTCATGCAACAAACCCTCTTCTAAACTAAGAAATGCAATAATACAAATGTAAATTGTTAATTAAACTAGAATGACGACAAATTGCAATGACCGCAATTACCAATACCGTTCTTTTTTTAAAACTAGAGTGACAACGAGTGGCAATAACCACCATTCTTTTGATAAACACTTACTCGCTTCTTCCAAGTATGCTAGTTTCTTTATCTCTTTTGTTAATCGTAAATGACATTTTTTATTTTAAAAGAAAGAAAAAGAAGACAAATTTTATTTGATCGGCAAACACGTCATTAATCTAAAATTTCGGACGCAAAGTGAGCTTGATTAATTCACATCATTTTTTTTCAATTTGTAATCAAATAAAGTTTATTTAGAATGATTTATTTCACAAAATAAAAATGTGTTAATTCACACAATGAGTTTAAAATATTTAAAATTTAAAATGCTTATAAAAAATAATAAAAAATTAATTTTTTTGTAGTTTAGATAGTATTATCATCATTGTCAATATCTACATTTATATCTTGAACTTCAACTTCATCCTCTTGGTTCTCGACCACAAGATATTCATTGTATTGA